AGTGTGTCCAAAGTGAAGGGGACTGGTTTGAATGGCAGTGTGTCTTCCTGTAATAATTTTTTAAAATTTAAACATTTTGATCATCCCTTAAACATGTTTATTGCACATGTATGTATACATACATGCACATCCCATGTGCCAGCGAAGTCCTTTCAGGACAATGAGTCACACCAGAAAAGAATACAGGCTCAGAGAAGAGAAGCAGGAAGGGCTCTGGCTACTACTTGATTAACCACCATGCGTAGGTGAGGGCTGGCTGCAGGTGGACAGAGAGAAAGTACATCTATATAAAGCAAGGTGTCTCTCTATGCGGGAAGACACAGTTGTACGGGAGAGTGTCTATATATGGGGAGGGGTGTCTACATATGGAAAAGAGTCTATATATGGGGAAGGATGTCTATATATGGCAGGGAGGGTCTCTACGTGGGGGAGGCTCTCTATTTAAGGGGGAGAGTATATACAAGGAGGGTGTCTATATACGGGGAAGGGTGTCTCTGTGCTTTCCTTCAGAAGCATTACACCCACCGTGTTTCCTAGCACCAAACAAATAAATAAATAATAAACCAGCAGTGCCCATCTTCATTGTCACGCTGCTGTAATTGCCCCGGGGCAGCTGTCCTCCTGCCCTCTCCAGCAGCTCCTCAGCAGGGCTGCAGCACTTCCTCACCCCTCAATAATACCCCCCCATAGGAGGCCCCCAGGAACTATCCTTTGCAACAGCGGAGGGAGCTGGCACCTCCCTTCTCCTGCTCCCTCCTCCAGCATTACCCACAGGGTTGCACTTTGGTGCTGTCTCCGAGCTCAGTCTTTAACCCGCTCCCACCGAGCCGGCTCCTCCCTGCACACAGCAGCTCTTTCACTCACATTCTGTGCAGCTGAGGGGCTCAGACCCTGTGACGACGTGTCCTCCCTCAGGACAGAGACCTCTGAGCGGCTCCCCGCCTCAGGCAGGGTCAGGAAGAGCAGCGATGTTGTGCCACCGATGCCACGCGTCCACCAGACCCCACGCCTACCCGCTGGCCACCGCACATGCTCAATGCCATCTCTGTTGTAAGGTTCCTCGTGAAAAGCCCCTGTGTTGTGGCTCCTGGCTCCAGCAAGGGATGTGACACAAGGTCTCCATTCATGTCAGGCTCGGCCTTCTTGGCCACCAGGGTAGCCCTGCCCCCTGAGTACAGCTGCCTGGATGCTGATGATCTTCCCGCTGGGGTCCCAGAGGTTAAGCGCTCACTGACAATTCGCCGCCTCTTTGGAAATCCTCACCCCACCTCCGAGTACCGGGGCTGAGAGCACCAGCCAGCCAGCAGGTCTTCAGAAGACTAATATCTTCTCTGCCTGCTGTCATCCAGAATCAGAATCCTCACTACTATGAAATGTCATGCTGAGACATGCCCAGGGAAAGCATAAAGAAGAACCTTTTTCTCTTCCACTGAGCTAAGAGGGAAAAAAAGAAAAGCTGACTGAAAGATGCCTATGTCGAGGGACAGAACAGAGAATCAGTTCTGAGGATGAGGGCCAGTTGGCAGGCTCTTGTCAGGTTAGAGAGCTTGTTGATTGGCTTTTTGACACTCATGCGGCTTGGAGAGTCCCATGCTATTCCACAGACCATTCACGTCCTAAGCAATGGAATACAGCACATACACTACCAGTTCAGGGGTATTTGTTTGTTTGTTGGTACTGGGGACTGAACCCAAGATCTCACACTGAGCAACACTGCAGCCCTTTTAAAAAAAAATTTTTTTTTTGGTCTTTTTGAGACAGGGTCTCACTATGCAGTTCAGGCTGGCCCTGAACTCACTTTATAGCCCAGGCTAGTCTCGAACTCGCAACGATCCTCCTGCCTCAGCCTCCAGAGTGCTGGAATTACAGGCATGCACCACCATGCACAGCTCTTTTGAAATTTATTTTAATTTTTTAAAATTTGCAATATTAAGGATTAAATATTAAGGATTCACACTGAGCTACATCCCCCACTCTCTTTTTGTTTTTTATTTTGAGGCAGAGCCTTCCCAAGTAGCCCAGCGGTCTCAGACTTGGGTTCATCTTGCCTCAGTCTCCTAAGTTGCTTGGATTAGAGGTGTACACCACCAGGCCCAGTGTATTAATCAGCTTTCCTTTGCTAGGACCAAGAGGAAAACAACTTACAGGAGGAAAGATTTATCTTGCCTAATATTTTCGGAAGTTCCAGACCATGGGCAGCTGGTCCCATTGCTGAGGACTTGAGGTAAAGCAGAGAAATCGTGGTGGAGAAAAAAAAGCTGCTTACTTCATGGCAGTGAGGAAGCAGAGGGAAAGGGAAGGAGCCAAAGAGCCATTAACAAGATGCACCTTTCAAATTGACTTCCCACGCTAGGGATGTAGCTCAGTGGCACAGCACCTGCCTGGCAAGTTCAAGGTGGTGAGTTTGATTCCCGGTACCTAAACAAATTCATTTCCCAGTGACCTACTTCCTCCAGCTAAGCCTTACCTCCTAACACCCAGTCAGTTCTGAAAGCCCATCCACTGGCAACCACATGATCAACACAATGAGCTTTGGGGGGATGTTTTGGATCCCAAACATAACATCTGGCTGGCATGGTTCTTAAACTTGAACTCACCTCAGAGTAATCTGCAGGACTTATTTCAGCAGGTTGCTGCCCATCCATTCCATCCACCCCACCCGAGTTGGTGCTTTATGGAGTCTGGAAACTGCGTTCCTAACAAGTGCTGTGGATGCTGCTGTCCACCTCACTTTGAGAGCCACTGGAGTAGGATTACCCTTGGCTTCAAGGAGATATGCACTGTTTGAGACAACTGATACATACCTGACTATTCCCAAAGGCAGTTTCAGAGGAAAATCTTACCAGTGGATGCATTCAAACTGAGAACATGCAGGAAAAAGAGGGAAGATGGTCCTTACTGAAGGAATGCGACCACTGTCATCCTGATCAGAGACCCCTCTAAACAGCCCCTGCCCACCACAGCTGCACCTGGGGACTCACAACTCCATCAGCCCTGCTACTGATAACAGCCACTACTTCCTGCACTTTCCCAAGCCTCGTCCTTGGGCAACCATGACCACTTGTGCTCTCTCAAGCCTTTTCCTTGGCAGGAAGCCACAACACCCTCTCAATGAACTCCCCCTCCCCCACCACCCTGCAAAAGAGCCCACAGCATCTGGTCTGGTCTGTAGTGCCAGAGCGGTTCCTCTTGGGTTTATTCTGCAACAAACCCTGTCCTGCTGAGCTCGTACCTCTGTTTCTTCTTTTCCTTCTTCCTAACACCTACCACAACCCAGTCTTTATCTCACTCAATTCTCATAACCTCTGAAAGATGAGGAATTGCTTTCCCTGTTTTACTGATGAGAGCAAAGAGACTCAAAGATTATCACTCACCCAAGGCTAAGCAACTAAGAGGGTAACAAAGGTTCTGAGGCCAGTTGGAGCTCACACCAAGGAGCAGGGAAAGTTTGTTCCAGAAGATTCCTCCGAGAAAAGTGACTCAAACTGGATGAGCAGTAGGGAGCTTGTGGAACGGAGGAAGAGAGGTAAGTGCAATCTTGGGGGGTGTGGGAGCCATGCTTAAGGCTCTGGGTGGTGACAGGAAGAGGCTGGAGGGAACGGGGCTTGCTCTACTGCTGTGGGGCCTCCAGAGCCACACCAAGACCCCTGGCTAGATTCAGTGGCTAGAGGGCGCTACTGTGGGGCCTGCAGTTGGCAAAAGATGGGCAGGCAGTGCTTGAAAGACAGGATTTTGTCAGCCACAAAGGCAAGAAGCATTTGAAGCCAGTCTACCAAGTGGGCAGGCCACGGCAATGATGGAAGCAATTTCCCTGACGCTGCCGAGCGATAACTGGAGAAGCCTGTGTGGGTTGTGCAACCCACAATCACTGCCCACCCCTCTCCAAAGATTATCTGTGTGCTACCAGCTTTTATCTTTTTATCGCCTTCTGAGGGATCATAGTGACACCCCTGAACCCCACTGTTCTGCAGAGAAGGGGAAGGAGGTTAGGGTTAAATAATTTGGTACAGTGAGGGGCAGCAGACATTTGTCCAGACTGCCAGGGATCTTGGTGTTCTTCTGTCTCCTCAAGATGTATTTTTGTGTGTGTGTGGTGCTGGGGGGATTGAACTCAACGGTTCACACATTCTAAGTAAATGTGTGAGCTACACAGGTAAATGTGTACCTGTGAGCTACAGCCACAGCCCTTTTTATTTTTAAGACAGGGTCTCACTAAGTTCCCCAGGCTGCCCTGGAACTTGGGTTCCTCCTGCCTCCCAAATACCTCAGCTTCCCAAATACCTGGGATCACAGGCATGCATACCACCCTGGCTCCTCAACATGCCCTTTTTTTTTTTTTTTTTTTTTTTTTTTTTTTTTCAGAAGAGGTTTATTTTGGCTCACAGTTTGTAGAGTTTCAGTCCATAGTCTGGTGGCGTCAAGGTGTTATAGGTAGCTGAGTGAGGTAGAAGTATCACAGGCAGTCAGACAGGGCCAGGTCCTGGAAGGAGCCAGTAGGAAAGACAAGATACCTCACAAATGCAGAGGTGGTACTTGCTTCGGGCCAGATCTCAAGACTAAAGATTAAACAAACACACCCACTTACCTCCCAAGGGATGGACCTCAGGGATTGATATTCTAAATAGGTAGCAATCACCTTCAAGAGTCCCTGACCCAACCTCTTACAGGAAAAGTCCCTCTTCTGTATTCCTGCCTGCTTGCTGTGTGACTCGCTTCCCCATTTGATCCCAATTTAATCAATTTTACCTGAACAGTTCTTATTGGCTGGCCACAGTTTGTCCATCTTTCCCTTACCTTGGACCCGCCTCACCTCGTGGTTTTGCTCCATAAAAGTCCCTAGAAAAGACAGTCTTGGGTAACCCACTCCTACCCCTTTTCTGTCTGTCTTGGACAGAAGCTTTCTTTCCTCAATAAATATATTCTGCTCTTAACCTCCATTGTTCCTAAGATTCATTCTTTGATTTTAGAGAACACGAACTCGTCCCAGATATCATTCAGGTTGGGAGTTTTTATTTTCCTGTATCAAGAGCAGCATAAACATCCATGTCCCTTGGGGCTAGAAAACAAAGGAATGTTAAGCCAAAGGAGGTCTCCTCCTAAGGGCTTTCTCAGAGAATAGAAATATTCCGCTGCCCGGTAGTGGCCGGGACCGTTCGTCTCCTCCACCTGCCACCCCAGCATTGCCCGTGTGGGGGCAAGCACACTAGAGGGTGTGCTGCTTGTTGCAAATGTCCCTGCTGGCTCCTGGGACAGCCACGCAAATGGCCCATCAACCGTCTGGTTCTCAGAAGTATCTTCTTACAAAGCACAAGTGCAGGGACCAAGCAGGGAAATTCCTAATTTCATTTCTCCTCAGATACAAGCTTTTATCAAGTGGGCAGGAGGCCAGGCAGGGCTGGAAAAGAAAGCCACCATTCCCATCCTCGGCTTCGCCCGGGCTGGGAGAGATGCTGTTTGAAGGAGGCACTTTGGAAATTCCTGACATTTTTTGGCCTTTGTCTCTGGGCATTGAAATGGAGACCCTCATTTTCCTCTGCTGAGAGTTCCCAGTCTCTCCTTTACATTCAAAAGGAAGATCCTAGCAGAGCTGAAAGAATTCTGGCTCTTTGTCATCTCAGTGACCCACTGAATCACTTGGGGTGTGGGGAATGGCAGGGAGATGGCTTTCTTGTGCTCTTTTTTCCTCATGTTTCCATCTCTCCTCTCCTGCCACGGTCCCAGACCTGTGTCCTAAGAGATGTAAATATGATGTCGGCTTTGCCGAAGAGCTGCCACCTATACTCCCTGGTTCCTGTGCAGCTCTAAGGTCTGTGTGCAGGTGAGGGTCAGCCACACGGTGCCCAAGGACACACACCCCAAAGCTGCATTCCTACCACCTTCCCACACGAGTTTAGCCTGTCGTCCCAGCCCCTATCCCAGGAGGAGCAAGGACATGAAGGTGATAGTCACAGCAGTTTCAGTGTAAGAACATTAGCAAGGGAAAGCAATGCCAGGGCTAAGTTCCAACAAGAAGTTAGGTGAGGGGGTGTGGGGGGTGTGGCTCAGTGACACAGCTTGTGATTTGGATGTGAGAGGCCCTGGATTTGATCCCCAACACCACACACACACACACACACACACAGGTTAACTGGAAACCCCTTGCCCAGAAATTTTAGATTTCCACATATTTAAAGCTTCTGTTGTGAATGATGATCCCTTTGTTACCAATGTGAGAGCCATGTCCTTTCATCCCCCATGAATTCCTCGCCTGTCTCTCCCACCAGATATCACTTTGCACCCTACTCAACTAATTCACGAGTCGCTGGGGTGGGGGGTGCTGAGCCTCCCTGCCGTCCCCTGAGTATCATCCCTGCCCTTTACCGCCCTGGGTCTTGATGTCACCTGAGCTTGCAGGGGCTGGTGTTTCCCATGATTTTTGTAGTACTGAATCACCCTGTCCTCTTTGTCACCCAAATGAAGTCTTCACCATCCCAAAGGAAGAGACATCCTACAGAGAGTGAAGCAGACATTCCTGACAGTTCCCCAACATAGCTGACTGAGAGACTCTTCTGCCTGTTGTCAGTTTTTGGCCCCAGCCCAGCCTCAGTCCCCAAGAGGTAAAGGAAAACTGACCTCAGTTGAAGGGTAGTGGCCTTGGTAAGTGAGATCACCAGGCACCTGTCATTCATGGCAGGACCTCAGAAGAGTCGCTTATTCTCAAGAGCTTCAGGGTTGTCCCCTAAAATGGAAAGGGCTGGCCCTGAACACTACTGAGTTTCCTTCCAGACCAAGCCTAGGGCGTAAGTGTGAGCTCCAGATCTTGCTGCTCTTCCATTGCTCCCACAGCTGTTCCGCTGCTGGCCCTGTCCCAGGGATCTGGCCATGGCTGGGATCCAGTGTCCGTTTCCTTTGTGGTTCAACCTCCATGGGTGGCTACAGTGTGAAAGCCACTGACAGATGACAGCCACCCTCGTATACCACACGGCCCGCTGACCAGCCTGGTCATTTCCCCAGCCACTGTCCAGTGTCACAGCTCTGGAAGGACACCCTTGCTGTGAGCCCCTTGCCAGTGTCCCTGAAGCAGGTCCCTTCTGAGTACTGGGCCACAGCCAAGCAGAAGCTTAGACCTCATGTGTGCTCTGATGACCACTGCAAAAGCATTTCTGCTCCTGTTCCCAGCCTTTGATGTTTGCTTTTCAAGTGTAAGGAGCAGGTTCCTATGAAAAGAAATTATACTGACTCCCTGGCACAGCACCCAGCCCTCCTCTCCATAGATAAGATTTGCTAGTACTTTATGATGAAATCCTGACGTCAGAAAGAAGGCTCTTTCACCCTCCACTAGGCAGCCTCCGCCGCCTGCATTAAGGGGGTGACACAGGGTTCACCTCTTTGACATTTGCTCCGTGGGGGCCACAGTTCTCAGTGGGGCAACTGTGCCCGTGTGTGTGTGTGTGTGTGTGTGTGTGTGTGTGTGTGCGCGCACGGGTGTTTTGTTTTGCTTTGTTGCAGTACTGAGGGTTAAACCCAGAGCCTATAAGTTCTTATTAAACTGTTAAATTGCCCAGGCTCAGCTCAAAATTGCAGTTCTCCTGCTCCAGCCTCCCAGAATGCTAGGATTACAGGCATGTACCACCATGCCTGGCTTCTCTCTCTTTATTCTGTTCCCTGGCTTCTCTCTCTTTATTCTGTTCCTATCTCTCAGGCTGTGTGCATATTTCTACATGTCTCTGTGTCTGCTGGAGCCTCTGTCTCTCACTCTGTCCAGGTGTATATGAGTCAGCCTACCTGCCTGATAGCTTTGCACAGGTCTCTTTGGGTCTGTGTACATACATTTCTGCTCTGCAGGCAGTGAACCTATTTTCTCCTTCCACTCACTTCTAAGCCTCTCAATTTTTGTTTGATAGGGGGGTCTCACCATGTAGTTCTAGCTGACCTTGAACTCACTGTGTAGCCCAGGCTGGCCTTGAACTTGCAGTAATCCTTCTGCCTCAGCCTCCCAAATGCTAGGATTACAGGTGTGCCCTACCATATGTCCAGTGAAGGGTTTCAATTCAGGAGTTAGTGATTGCTTGAACCAAATTCTTCCTGAGGTAACACAGAGGGGTACGAGGGGATTGTCAGGACGAGAAGCAGAATGGCCCAGCAAGCAGGATGGAGCCACACAGCAGCAGAGCCAAGCCATGCTGTCCTATTAGCAAGAAGCTGCAAGTCCAGGGAGTATACAGGCCCAGAAATCTGTCACTGTGCACGTTTGCCTCCAGTCTCTATCTAGCAGTCACCACAGACTCACTGCGCGCTCCCGAACAGCTTGAACAGTGGTGTCTGTATGGATTCCTGAAACAATTCCTGTGCTGGTTAATCGTGATTGCCAACCTGATTGCCTCAAGAGATGCCCAGGAGATCAGTAAGACACTTCTTGCTGTGTCTGGATAGGTTATGGCTGTATGGGCTAGGAGACTCTCTCTGATCCCTGACACCTTCTTCTTGGGCTCTTCCCCAACTCTCTACTTTCTAGATTCCATGAGTTAAGCAGTTTTCCTCCCCCACACCTTTTCGCCATAATGTTTCTGCTTTGAAGTTGGTCAACCATGGACTAAACCTCTGAAGTCAGACCAAACCTGTGAGTCAAAGATAACTTTCTACTTTAAGCTGTAGCTGTACAGTATTTTCTCCCAGCAACAGAAAGGTAACAAGTGGATTTCTATCCCACAAACCACATCCCATTCTTGATGAAGCCAGCTCTTTCGTGATCCTCACTTCTCCTGGTTGGGTGATATTCCCTGTGTGCTTGGAAACTAGTGCACATTTGTAAAGCCTATTTTCATGTGTTCTACTTAGAGATGGAAAATGCTAATTAGAAGAACTCCTGGATACAGTCTATGAAGAGCAGGATCCCAGGGATCCTTGGGTAAATTCAAAACGAACAGATTTACACCTGGGTGGCACAGATGAGAGATTCATTTTCCCATCATTTCAGGACAATACTTCCTTCAGGACATTCACGTAGCTCTCATCCTCACGCTAACCCTAACCCCTAACCCTAACCCCTAACCCTAACCTCTAACCCTCTAACCCTAACCCTAACCCTAACCCTAACCCTAACCCTAACCCTAACCCTAACCCTAACCCAAACCCTAACCTCTGTCCTTGAGTAGTAAGGATCATCCATGAGCACCTACTATTTTGTAGGGTCCCCTGAGTGCCCTCCACCCAGTGCGCTCCACTCCAGCAGGGGCTATCCAGATGAAGGGGAGTGAAATTGGAGAAGAATGTGTGGAAGTTTGTAGCTTTCATCTCTTAAACAAATAGCAAATTCCTCCAGGCTGCCTCTGCTGGAATGAAACAATGATGTGTTCAGGGAGGCTCTGAGGCGTTACCTTAGCAACGCCCAGGCTGTTTTCAGGCAAGATCTAGTTAAAGAGGAAAGAGAACAAAAATAATAAAGGGACAGGTCTGGACGGGGTCCAGGAATGAGGGTCTTTCGGTGCAATGTGCTGATGTGTTTGCAGTCCTGCTGTCAGCTAAGCTTCCTTCTCACTCCCCCAGTGTGTCCTCACTAGTGAGGCTGGCTCCCTGGAATACTAATGGAGGCTGAGAAAAGAGAGGGCTAGACTTCACAGCTGGGACCACCTCAGCGAGAAGTGATGTGTTCCACCCCTATCTGTTAAACTGACTCTTAAAGTCGTAAAGGTCACAGGAGAAGAGGACAAGCAAGAAGGGCTTCTCCAGTTGTCTCCAAAGTGACGTGTGAGGGCCTTTGGCAGGGAAGAGGCTTGGGGGAGACCCATCGGCCCTCGCTATTCACAGTGGGGCCCCTAGGACAGCTCAAAAGTATCTCCTTGGAGCTTAGTGGAAATGCAGGCTGGCAGGGGTAGGGGGCTGGGCCTGCTAAAGCCAGGTCTGCGGTTTTTTTTTGGTAAATCCCCCGCTTCCTTGCCTGCAGTTAAGTGAGGCGACCATCCCACACCAAAACAAGCAGATCCAGTTTGCTGATAGTGCATTCTTGGTGTGTTTGTTTTCTAACAGAGATTCTTTGGGATTATGATGACAATGCTGGTGCTGATAGGGAAGGTGACATTAGATACTGTTTAGGGCTGGATCTTGCCCCACCCCACCCCCAAAAGATTTGCTCAAATCCTAACCTTTTCCCCTTCTACCTGCAAATGAATATGACCTTATTTAGAAACAGGATCTTTGGGGCTGGGGATTTAGCTCAGAGGCACAGCGCCTGCCTGGCAAGCGCAAGGTCATAAGTTTGATTCCCGGTACCAGAAAAAAAAAAAAAAAAAAAAAGAAAGAAAGAAACAGGATCTTTGCAAATGTAGTCAATTTAAGCGGAGGTCTTTAGCGTAAACTAATCCAATGGCCAGCGTCCTGCTAAGGAAAGGGATCCAGACACATAGGACCATGGGATGAGGAAAGTAGAGGCTGCAGTGATGGTGTCACGGTCAAGGAACACCAAGGATTCCGGATTGCTGCCAGAAACCAGGAGAGAGCAGGTTCTTGCTCCATGCACCCAAGAGGAGCCAGCCCTGCTGACACCTGGGCTTCAGGCTCCTGGCCTGCAGACCGTAGGACAATAAACTTCTACTGTCTGAAGCCACCCAGTTCCTGGAAGCAGATGACAATCTAGCAAATGCATCCTGACTCCTGCGACTTTCCCTCTCACAGCCCTTTTCCCATGCATCACCCTGTGAAAGCAGAGAAAAAAGCATCTTAGTCTGCTTTAAAAACAACCAAGCCCCTTTATCACTTTGACAGATCACAAAGCAATGGTCCCAAGGCTAGCAAGTAAGGAAGCGCTCGAAACTGGGTCCTCCCATGGCCACCAGACCTGGGCAAGGGCTCCTGCACAGGCCCTGCAAGCCTGCTGACCACCTATACATCTGTCCCTCAGCAGCCAGCACCTCCAAGGCTCTCTGGGTGAGAAATACAGCCAGTTACTGAACTCATCCCATCTGAGATGGAAGCCCCACAGTCATCTCCACCATCTGCATCACATGGGCTCAAAGGTGCTCCCAGCAGCGGTGTCCTAGTACAGAACTGGCACAACCCCACTACTCATCCTCCCTGCTATCCAGAAGTTCAAGTTTTCAAAGGTCACCTCCATAATGACACTTTCCCTGAAGTGGTTCTGTTTTATTTTCCTTGTGACACTTAACACTATTCTTAGTGCTCCTGTCCCTTGATCTAATTACCTGTCTATGTCCTGTCTCCTTTAACAGAATGTAAAGTCCGGTTACCGGAACAGAGAAAGGTTAACGGAGAGAAGCTAGGTGTGGTGACACAATCCCAGTGCTCTAGAGGCTGAGGCAGGAAGATTGCAAATTCAAGCTCAGCCTGGGAAAATTAGCAAGCCTCTGTTTCAAACTGAAAAATAAGAAAAGGGCTGTATATATATAAACTCTAGGCAAAAGCTCTGGATTCATCCCTAGTACCACCAAACAAAAGCAAAAGAAAAAACCCACATATACACAATAGCGAGGCTGGGGATATAGCTCAGTGGTATAGTATTTGGCCTAGTATAGCTGAAGCCTTTGTTCAGTCCCCAGCACAAATAAATAGATAAATAGAAGAGAACCTCTGAAAAATGTTATGGCAGGTGCATGCAATGAAATGTTACACAGCTGTTGAAAACAATGATTTGGATCCATGTGTAGTCCATGGAAGGAGGCCCATGTTTATGAGGCAGGGAAGCAATTGGAAGGGGAAGAGACATCGGATGCTTCTCTCTTTTGTTTTGTTTTGTTTTGTTTTTTCTTCTGGCACCGGGAATTGAACCCACAACCTTGCACTTGCCAGGCAGGCACTGTGCCGCTGAGCTAAATCCCCAGCCCCTTGATTCTCTTTTTGAAGCAATGTATGCATGAACACACGTGGGATATTTTTTTGTTTTTGGTTTTTTTTCCAGTACCGGGAATCAAACTCATGACCTCATGCTTGCCAGAGAAGCGCTGTGCCACTGAGCTAAATCCCCAGCCCCCACACATGGGATTTTGGTAAATATTTACCTGTGCCTGTACCTGTGTGCCTATACTACTAACAGTCACATGGCTGTGAAAAAGCCAGAAACAAGGCCAGTTCCTTGCAGAAGCAGAAAATTTGGCAAAGTTAGAAGAGGGACACACGAGGGAGAGAGCAAGGGCAAATTCTATCTCTGTCACTCTTTGGCTACAGCTCCAGGCTCCTCTCTCATCTCTCCTTCTACGCCTGCTGCCATTGAATTGTGGGAACC